GCCTCCCAGAGTGCTAGGATTACAGGCGTGAGCCACCGCGCCCGGCCTATAGCCATATCTTTAAGAACAATAATTTCTAACTGGGCATCCTGTGTCACTGTTTTGGATTCCAGGCACTTATTGAATTCAAATGTTTTCACCATTTTGAGCTTCTTTATTTGTTAACAATATTCGAAGTTTATTGGGAATTGCCATTGTGGGCAGTAATGTGCATCCTTATTGCGAAATTTTATTGGTATACTTTCCTGTGTGTGGATTAACTGTTCCATTTTCGCCTCCCATCTGCTAAGTACTTATTTCCTGCCCCTATGCTTTATTCTTGTCTTACGTAGTTTACTGGTATTTTATGTCATGTCTACTTCATGATTCTGGTAAGATTAGAAAAAAGATATCTCAGTCTGGAATAATTGTCCTGTCCCTTCCCGTTTCTGCTTACTTTCACCTCTTCGTCTTTTAAATTGCATCTTTTCAAAGAAGTCACCCCTGAACACCCCTGTTCAGATTAGTTGTCCTCTATTCTGTCCCCACTGCACACCATGATGTCTTTAAACTACTCAACAAAAGTTAGCGAGGACCTACCACATGCCCATAAGTCAACAAAACACATTCCTTGACCTTCGGGAACTTAGCGTTGAGAGGGGGAGGCAGACAAGTAGGCAGAAAAATGCAATCTGCTTGGATGCCTGTTTTTCAAAGTGATTGTTTTTTATGTAACAGGTGTTGTGCTAAGCACCTCACATGCATTATTTCATGTCATTCTCTCAATAACCTTATGATCTCCGTTTTACAGAGAAGGAAGAGAGGTTTGGAGAACTTCTGTGATTTCCCTGAGGTCAGTTAAGTCTCAGAGCTGCTACCCAAATCCAGGTCCAGAGCCCAAGCTCTTGACCACTGTGCCTCTTCTAACTGCTGCCTCTCCATGTCTCAGAGCACTTGTGCTTCTGTGGCCGGTGCCCTCAGACGCTAGGCACAGGAGGTGAGCACCGGTGTTGGAGTTCAGAAACTAATTACTTCCTTTTCACCCAGCCACTTTAACTGCTTCAGTATCTTCCCTCAGAGATGCCAAAAGGATGCAAGATGCTAACATATAAAATGCAAGATACATTGTAAGCAATGTATGTCCAAAGTTACTCATCACAGTGTCGCATATAATAGCAAAAGATTGGAAATAACCTAAGTGTTTATCAATGCAAGACTGATTAAATAAATTGTGATGTATTCATACAATGAAGTTTTACAGCTGTGAAGAATGAGGAATGTCCATACAGATATGGAACAATATAAAAGGTATGATGTTGCGTGGAATGAACAAGGTGTAGAAGAAAAGCTACCTTGTATGGAATCTATAGTATCCTTCTGTTTGTGGTTGGAGAGGGAGAGAATTTATGTGCATAAAATATCTTTGGAAGAAAAGACAAGAAATTGATAATACAGGTTGCTTCTGAAGAGTGGCTGGGGGATTCCAGGTAGGGAGACTGTCTACGGTACACCTTTAAGCGTCTTTTGAAATTTGAGTTAACTGCATTTACTACCTATTAAAAAAGATATAAATACTCTGAGAGGCCGAGGCGGGCGGATTGTTTGAGCTCAGGAGTTCGAAACCAGCCTGAGCAGGAGCGAGACCCCGTCTCTACTAAAATAGAAAGAAATTAATTGGACAACTAAAAATATATAGAAAAAAAAACTAGCCGGGCATGGTGGCGCATGCCTGTAGTCCCAGCTACTCGGGAGGCTGAGGCAGGAGGATCGCTTGAGCCCGGGAGTTTGAGGTTGCTGTGAGCTAGGCTGACGCCACGGCACTCACTCTAGCCAGGGCAACACAGTGAGACTCTGTCTCAAAAAAAAAAAAAAAGATATAAATAACATTAAAAGAAGAGAAATGGAAAGCACCTTCCTAGAAATAAAAACAAAGGCAAAAAGGTGCTCTGGGCTGTGTATGTTTTGTGAGGGCGTGAGCCATACCTGCCAGGTCCCTGCCACCTTCTAGTGCCTAGCATAGTATACACTGGAGCATTTGTACAATCAGTGAACCAAGTTGCGGGGGAGGGGGGGACCACTTCAAATTCCTCTATAGGAAGGACACACAACATCTCTTCTGTGGTATTCATGCTAAAAATACATATCCTGAATCTAACCATGAAGAAACATCAGACAAACTTAAATCGAAGAACATTCTGAAAAATAAGTGGCCTGTGCATTTCAAAAATGTCAAGGTCATAGCAGACCAAGAAAGAGCAGGGAACCATTTGGGATTGAAGGAGACTGAAGGGTGTGACAATTGAACATGCTGTGTGTGATACCAGATTGCATCCCAGGCCAGGAGAAAGAATGTTGTTTTTTTGGCTGTAAAGGACATTAATTAAACAGAGTTGACAACATTGGAATAAGGTTTGTGAGTTAGGTAATAGTACTGTTTCAATATTTAACTTCCTGATTTTGATACTAGTACTGTGGGTGTAAGAAAATGTTCTTTTTTTTTTTCCAGGCTGATATTAAGTAGCAAGGAAAATGTTCTTGTTTTTGGGAATTAGGCACTTAAGAATTTAGGGGTAAAAGGGCATTGTCTCTGCAACTTACTCTCATATGGTTCAGGTAAGAGAGAGAGAGAAGGAAGAGAATAATAAAGTAAACATGGTAAAATGTTAACATTTGGGGAAATCTGAGTGAAGAAATACAGGAATTCTTTGCAATTTTTTGCAATTTTCCTATCTGAAATTATTTCCAAATGAAAAACTTAAAAAAAAAGCGCTTCCTGCATGGAACATGCTATGATTTTTTTTTTTTTAAGCAGGGTCTTGCTATGTTGCCCAGGCTGGACTTGAACTCCTGAGCTTCAGCAATCCTGGTGCCTCAGCTTCCCAAGTAGCTGGGACTACAGGCATGTGCCACCACTCCTGGCTCTGATTTTGTAATTACTGAACCTTTTATATGCTTTTGTACAATTTTTTAGTTTTCTTCATATAGATCTTTATGTTATTGGTGACATTTATTCCTAGGTTTCTTAATATTTTTGTTTCTTTAAATAATGGCTTCGTTCAGACCTTAACTATCTTTTTATGTATACTTAAATAGTATACTGTTCTCTAAAGAAGATATGCTTTTTTTAAAAAAAATTTTTGTTAGGGTATGGTTTAAATATGGTAAAATTCACATGTTTTAATTGAATAGTTTGATGACTTTTTACCCATGTGTTCCCCATGTAACCACTACCCCAATCTAGATACAAGATATAGGATATTCCTGTTTCTCTAGAAAATTCCTTCACGCCCCTTTCTTTATACATTCACCTGTTGGTGGACATAAGCATTGTTTCAAGCACTCTGTGAATGGGGATAAGGAGAGGAGGGTGTATGCAGGGTGCACATGCGTGTGTGTGGTGGGGCTGGTGTAGGGTGGGTGAGGATGACAGTGTCGGGGCGAAGCAGGAACAGGCATCTCAGTGGCTCAGAAGGTGGCCGTGGCCGTTCTGTACTCCAGGGTTAGGTGCAGACATTCAACGCACTTGCCTTCTCTTTCTTTCTTCTTTGGGCCTTATGGTTCAGAGCTTGGAACATGTGTGGTCTAAGAATGTGTTTCTCAGCTTATTTCCATGGGCAATGGAGAAAATTCTGGCTGGATCTTAGCCAGTGGTCTTTCTCATCTTGGCTTTCGCGGTGTTCTGGCCAGTCCTACCTTTTCTTGTGTCTGTGCGCTACTTTAATGGGAGGTCGAGAGGAGGTACACCAGGCTTGGCTGCTGCCCTGTTAACGCAGCAAATCTCAAGTGACTTTTAAAATATCAACATTTTATCATCATCGAAAGAGACGATTACCTTACAAAGCCTATTTTGAAAATGAATAAGGATTTGAGATGTAGATTTTGTGCATGTTGATGTTTAGTAAAGCTTTTAATTTGGTCACGAATCACTCCTGTACTGACCAAATGGGAAATAAACTTTGAATTTGCATTTACCAAATTGTGGCCCAGAAAATTCAGCTCCCTCTGCTTGGCATTTTTTCCTCATTCTGTGGCTTTTATTATTCTGCTGTTCATTTTGAATAAAGGTTGTGTAGGAAGTCAGTGTCTACAAGGAGAGAACTTGGGCTGTGCAGCAATCATACTTGGGTATGAACCCATCACTTATCTGCATTTAACATCTGGGAAACTCATTCTCCTCAGGAGAACAAAGATTACCTTTTTAATGAGGATTACATTATATATACACACATATGTACAAATATATTTACAAAATATATAGTATGTGAGATATATATATATATATATATATATATATATATGCATACACCCCTAGCAAGTGTTTAGAACATAGCAAGCATGCAATACATTTTACAATTTTTACAAATAATTTCTTCCTTTTTACCTTTTTTGCTCAGGTGTGTTGCCTTTAACGAAGTTTTTTTTTTTCTTTTGGTGATTGAAACTGTAATCTATTAAAATGTATTCATCCACTTAAAGTCTTGGTTCCTTTTCTGTCTTTTCTCAGGCACGCTGCAGAGAGACCTTTTTGTCCTTCATGAACACACCTGTGGTAGACAGATGACTGTCCTCTGCCCCATGCTGCTGTAGGCGCTCCAGGCTTGGGGCTGGCCTGTAGGGAAAAGATGGATTCCAAAGACGAAAGCTCACACGTGTGGCCGACGTCAGCAGATCATGAACAGAATACTGCACAGGTGAAGAGTGGTCTTTTCCAGCCTAGTACTGACAGCAGTTTTTCAACTGGACACAGTTTGCTGACTGCAAAGAAATAACAGCTACTGTACAGTCCTGAATAGTTGGGAGGGGCCGACATGAAGCGCTTGTCCGTAAGGAATGAGGAATGTTTCGGCACCTGGGATGCCCATTGACACAGTTCTCTGTGAGTTAGGAGAGCTAAAGTACCACCTACAGGCTTCTCCTCCTTGTCTTACCATCTTAATTAATCTGTTTCACTACCCTGCTTTACTTTATGTTATTGGTGCTGAAAACCTCAAATTGTAATTTGTTTCTTTTGTTATCTAGTACAGGGTTTTCATCCTCTGTGTGTAATGAAGTATAAGGTATGTCTATCAAGTGAGTGCCCTTGTCTTTGTAAATTCACAATGGAGACCTTTAAGCGAGGTCCCATTATGAGTCACCAGCGTTGGAGGTTAGTCGCTTATCCAAATGCTGCTGTCACCGATGATCTCTGCCTTTCAAATTGCTACCAGAACTAGCCACATGTGATTTTGGCTGTTCTTAGTGAAGGCAAATCTCTGCAATTTTGGTATGAATTTGAATTTTGGGATGAGCCAGTAGTCATACGGAGCCATGTTTTTATATGCGACCAAGGTATAAAACTTAAATTTTAAACGTTATAATAAATACGCAATTTTTATCTAATTTTTCATTAAATGCCATAACCATAGTACTATTATCAAGATCAGGAAGTTGTAATAACTCTGAAACATTTAAATATGCAAATTTTATTTAATTTAAGCAATCTAATAAATATTACAATAAATAAAAT